TCCGACGGCGGCGCCCGCGCGGGCAACGCGCACGAGCCCTGCGGCTGCCACCAAGCGCCGGGGGAAGCGGCCGGGCAGCAGCAGGGGCATCTTCCTCTTTCCTTTCTTTGAAATATAGGTTTAAATCCCCCCTGGGGAGCCGGGGCTGGAAGCACCACATGATGTGCGCCCATGTGCAGGCACCTGGGCTTGGTGCAAGGCAGCACCGCGCTCCTCTCCGTGCACCCGGGGCATCCTCCCTCCCTCGCTGCGCTCCTGGGTCGGCCTCCTCTCTGTTCCCCCTAATCCAACCCCGGTTTTCGCCTCTGGGCGCAGCCCATCCTAGCTCCAGCCTAGACCTTTGCAATCTGGACATACAGGTAGAGCGGGAGCCGCAGCGCGGGCACCTACCCGAGTGCTCGCCGGGGGAGTGCACCTCGCTGATGCTGGAGGACGACTGCGGCGAGTCGGCCTGCAGCGCCTTGAAGATGGCGTTGGGGGAGATGTGGGTCTGCTCGGCGCCCTCCTCCTGCTCCGCCTGCCCGTTCTTCACCGACTTCCTCCGCCGCGGCTGGTACTTGTAGTCGGGGTGGTCCTTCTTGTGCTGCACGCGCAGCCGCTCGGCCTCCTCCACGAAGGGCCGCTTCTCGCTCTCGTTGAGCAGCCTGCGGGGCAGCGGGGTCAGCGCCAAGGCCCCCAGCCCGCAGCACCCTTCCTCCTCCTCCTCCTCCTCCTCCTCCTCGCAGGCGCTTCCCAGCCCTCCAAGCCCGGGCCGTTTGGTGCCAGGGAGCTGCACCAGGATCCAGCTCCGGGCCCTTCCCTACCACCCCGGCCCACCCGGGGCTCTGGCGCTGCGGCTCTTCCCGCCGCAGCTGATGCAATCCCGGAGAACCGCGCTCGGCCCCGGAGCCCGGCCTCCCAGCCGGAGCATCGCTCGGGCGGGAGGCGCACGGCCCGCGGGCAGCCGCCTCCTCCGCTTCTCCCTCCTTTCTGGCTTCCCCTGCGCCCAAGGAGTTGACCAGCACGTGCCAAGCGTGCGGCAAGTTTTCCAAGCCGGACCTCATCCCCTCCCTCCACTTCCAGCTCCTCTCTTAGGGGACGGATCCGCCTCCACGAGGGCCCCCGGGGCTGCAGCTCCCCCCTCACCTCCAGAGCTTGCCCAGCGTCTTGCTGAGCTCGGCGTTGTGCAGATGCGGGTACTGGTCGGCGAGCTTCCTGCGCGCGGCCTGCGCCCACACCATGAAGGCGTTCATGGGCCGCTTGACGTGCGGCTTGTTCTTGCTCGACCCGTTCACGCGCACGGGCATGGGCACCAGCGTCCAGTCGTAGCCCTTGAGCACTTGGCTCACGGCCTCGCGGATGCACACGGGGAACTTGTCCTCGTCGCTCTCCTTCTTCAGCTCCGCGTCCCCCTTGGCGAAGGTGTTTTCTTGGGGCCGCGTGTTCTCCGTGTCCGAGCCGGATCCCGAGGGGCAGGGAGAGCCCGCAGAGTCATCCGACATGGTGGGGCTGGGGGCGTCGGAGATGCATTTGTCCTGCTCCTCTGTCATTTTCATGAAGGGGTCTAGAAGATTCATGCGAGAAAGCGGCAGAGGGGGGAAAACGGGATGAAAAAAAATAATACTCAGGTGGCTACGGGGCTAGGGAAGTGTTAAAAAAGTCAGAGTGGCAGCGGCGACGTTCAGCGGCGGGACGCGGGCTGGGCGCGCGGGGCGGCGACGCTGGAGAAGTTTGCAAAAGTTGTAGAGATTTATATTTCTTCTCTCTCCCTCCCCACTGTTTTAGGTCGAAAAAACGAGCGCGGGGCCCCCTCGCAGCACGTGGCGCTGGGGCTCGCGGGCACCAGGAACTGCGGGGGAGCGCGGTGAGGGCGCGGGGGGGACACGCGGGGGTGCGCGGGACGGGCGACCGAGCGGCGAAACTTAAGGGAGGAAAAAAACACGCGTGGAAATGGGGAGGCCCCCCGCGGGGCCGTTTGCACCGATTTAACGGCAAGAAACCGCGGAGCCGCCTGCAGCCCGGGGGTCCCGCGGAGGCTCCACCGGGGCGGAACGGGGGGAGCCCCGCGGGGGGCACAGAGGCTCCGAGGCCGCTCGGGAACCGCGGCCGTCCCGGTCCCAGTCCCGGGGGGGGTTGTTGGTTTTTGGCGCTTCAGCCCGAGCGCGGAAGGGCCCCGGGGGACGCGGGTGGGATGGGGGTCGCAGCCGCGTCGCTGCTGTGCGAACTGCGGGGTGTTTGTTCAAGCCGCCCGCGACACGAACGAGACATAAACACACACGCACGGGTTTGGGTTGTTTTGTTTTGTTTTGTTTTTTAAAAAGGCTCCAGATGTGCCCTTTTAAAACGACTCCAAGGGAAGGGGAAGGGTGAAAAAAAAAAGAGGGAGGGGGAACAAGACATCTGGACAGCAGCAGCCGAATGGGAACAAAAGTGAGAGCTGCTCACTCGCCTTACCTGAGAAGCGGTGCTGTAGGGGTATCCGAACTGAGAGAAGGACATAGTCGCTCCTTATTTTTGGACCATAGGCAATATTTTTCCCCCCAGATCGATTGCAACTAAACCCCGCTTCAGGATGCAGCTTCTCACACACACATTTCCACGCAGGGCTTTTTTTTTTTTTTCTTTCTTTTTTTTCCCCCGCCCCCCCCGCCGCTCGCCCCGCGCAGCAGGTCGCTTTTTAAAGCACTTCGGGGAGCTTTGGCTTTTGCTGCTCCCGTCTGCTATAAACGACTAGTCCAAACTACGGGATTTCGGTAAAATTCTTCCCCTCCCCTGCCTTTCTTTCTTTCTTTTATATGTATATATATATATATACACATATATATTTTTTTCCAGCCCGGTGGCACCGTCGTTGGCTGCAGCGGTGGCCCGAGTGTCCCCCCCAAGTCGTGTCCCCTCTGTGTCTGTGCAGCCTCTGCCGAACTTGGCTCCGTTGGCGGTTTATGCTGCAGCGCTGCGGGCGGGAGGAAGGTTGTCCCTCCTCTCCTCCTCCTCCTCCTCCCCTGGGCACAGCTAATGCGGCCAACGTTATCATCCGAAAAACACAATAAAAAGCAAATTAATAAGCGCTAGGAGCTCTTGAGGGTATGTCTGTAGGCACGTCGGGGTAGGTATGTACATGCAAATGTTTCCCCCGTATAGTCGATGTTACAGAATCTATGGTTTTGGGGGCAAGCTGCTTTTCCGCAAAAAAAAAAAAATTAAGAGGAAAGAAATGGATGCTGCCGTTGTCCGGAATAACACGCGGCCCGTCCTTGAGGTTTACAGGAGACGCGTGGGACGCGTGAGCCGCTCTCAGCGCCGGCCTGAGCGGCGGGGCTTTACAGAAACCGCGTCAATTCGCCCCGTTTTCTTCTGTTAAGCAGTTCCCGAAGCAGCGCCAGCTTGGTGGTTGTGCTGGCTCGTTATTGCTGTTGTCACCATTATGTTGTTACGTTAATAAGGAAGTTTTAATGGAAAATGCACACACAAAAAAGTTTAAAATGTAGAGAGAAAAAGGTAAAGGGGGTCCGGAGCTCTGAATAAATGGGTTTGAAAGCCAGCTCCTTGTAGACCAGGCTTTTCTTTCCCTGTGAGTTTTATTTTTCGCTTGCAAACTTTTGGAAAGTAGTTATCTTGGAGGGGGAGGTAGGGGTCTGTCCTGGTTACTGGGCCCTTTTCTGATTTGACTTTTGAGTCGTGCCTGCAACAAGACTGTTTCTGCAGTGTTGCTTATATTAATTTACTAAATTTCTATCAGCCCAAGATACACTGAATTTTGCATTGCTATTTCCTGTGGGGGAAAAAAATGATAAAAACCCACCCTTGCAATTAATAGGGGACAATTTTGAAGTATTCTCCCTTAACAGTTTTAGCTTTGTATTATATAGCAAATGAGCTGAATTCAGCTCCGCAAATCTCTTTTACTATATGTGTTTGCTATGGGGACATCAAAGAAAGCTCAGCCAGGAGCTCGTCCTTATCTCAGCTGCTGCGGCCAAAATCAGAGCAAATGTACCTGGAGGAGAAGAATGTGGAGGCAGCAGATTGCTGCCTGGCTTTGCTGCTGATGGGCAGCGAGAAGCACAGAAATAATGGGGGAGGATAATTGTTTTAATGAAAAGTGTAATAATTAGAGCATTTTTCATCCCAAAAGTCCGTGTGCTGAAAGGGCCCCTGCTTTTCCCGCTGCTGGAACAAAAGAGAGCGGCTTGACAGGTTTGAACAATAAACAAGAGAGAAACGTGGAATCGCTTTCCAGTTGTGTTATCACATGCAATTTTGTAATTTTGGAATTATTATTGCTAATTCCCCTTCTGCCCGACTATTTGGACAACAGGGACAAGCTGATTAATCGCAGCCGTTTTGCTGGGCTGGAAGTTTCCTTTAAAGTGACAAGCCGCTGCGGGCGCTACGTCGGGATGGAAGTTTGCTTTGCTTTTTTAGAGAATTAACATTGTTTTATCGCCAGCGGCCAGCTCGGATAGCGGGGAAGGGTTTTAGTGAGCCCTTACAGCCCTTGCTCGATGCTGTTTCTTCCCCGGGCTCAACCAAAGTGCTGTTTTTTAGGAAAGGACCGGCCCGAGGCTGCGAGCGGAGGCGGCGGCGGCGGCAGCGGCGCAGGGAGCAGCGCGGGGGTGTTGGCGGCGGCTCTGACGTTGGAGTAAGTTGCATTTTTACTTTTGTGTGATCCCGGGAGGGGGGGCGGCTTCTGCACCTCCCCTTCCAGCCCGGATCCCATCCCTTCTCTGCGCGCGGGGCTCCAGCTGTGCCGCCGTGCGGGAGCCGCATTGCGGGGCAAAACTGCCGGAGTTTGGTTATAGCAGAATTCTGTAAAAACAAAGATGTGCGCGTGCGAGGAAACGGGTGCAACGTGTTCTCGTTGTTTTGGTATTAAAACATATGGATATCCCAGTGCCCATCAGGTGCCTTCCAAGTTAGCCAGGATCGTCCATCCCCACATTTCTATCCGGCAGTTTCCAGCTCCCCAGGACTGGGGCTGAATGCAGTTAATTGCAGCCTAATTATCGCCTCCTCCTAAGCAAGGAGATGCGATGAGAACTGTGGGAAGCAGGCGCTTCCTTACTTTTTCTCCACCAAATTTCCTCAATTTTAATTCAACATTAACTCTCGTGTTTAAGAGCAATAAGCGCGTGCCTGGCCCGACCCCGCTCACGTCGCCTTTTGCTCCATAACTGTTTATTCTGCAAAAGGCCCAGCATTTTGCAGGCACATCCTGACATGTCCTCATTGGAAGGTCGTCGTACGGTTTAGAGAGAGAGAGGGAGAGAAAAAAAGAAAAGAACAGTTGCAAACTTGTGATGCACTTAGGGCAGAATTGCCGTTTTGTAGGTTGGACTAAGAATACCTTAATATCGTGCATTCATGCTGTTGTATTCATTTATTTAAAAATCTCTCTGTTCATCTGGCCTGTCAGGATAATACCCGGCCCTGAACGGCTGTGGGATGACACTGGTGTTGATTTAAGTTCTGCAAACATGAGCTGGAAATGGGAGGCAAAGCTGGAGCACGGGCATTTTCCCCCCTTTTTTTCCGGCTTGTAAGGGAATAGGGAGCCTAAAGACTCCCTGCCGGAAAGAGATTTGCTTTTGTGACATTTTAATTCCTGCCTAAAAATACTGTCTTGCCAGATTCACTATGCAGAATGAAGTGAAAGCGCCTCAAAAGGTGACAGCCAAGGATCTCCGTGCTGCAGTAAAAATATTCCGATTATTTGTAAGGACCGAAAGGGGCGGCAGGGTTAATTTGACCACGGCTCTCTGTTTTAGCTATTAAATAGCTTCGCGCTCATTGTGGCCGGCGAAATAGTGTCGCTTTAAATAGCGTGGAGATTTACCACTTAAAAAATAATCCTGGGAACACGAATCCGCCGGGGGCCAGATCCTGCCTGCAGCAATTAGAATAGGTAGCGCCGCGGCAATGGGGGGAAAGCATTAAAAAGTTTTAAAAATGCTAAGGGGGAAAAAGAAGAGAAAATCTGAGGGGAAAAAAAAAAGGAAAAAGATGGAGGATTTTAGCACTCTGGTTGCTAATAAGAAATATCGGTGCTGATCCGAAACTGCTTGATTTTCCCCAGGAAAGGCAGGGCCCGATTCCTGGTCCCGGCGCTGCGAGCACCCGCAGCCTCCCTGCTTTTTTCTGTGCTTTCTCCCACTACTGGAAATTGTAGGCTTTTTTTTTTTTTTAAATTTATGATTCTATTTTTTTCTGGAGGTTGAAGTGATGTATTTTGGTTTGTTTATTTATTTATTTGTTTATTTGTAGCCCTGATTTGGAGTTCTGTAAGCTTGGGAAGTGGAAAACTTGTCGGGCTCAGTTTAAGAGGAGCGGAAACACCCTCACCAAAGTGCAGAATTTTTCTCCTAGTGGAGAAAAGAGGGGTTCCGTTGTCATTGTTTTTGCTTGTTTATTTGGTTTTTATTTCTTTGCAGGGTGCACCTGTAAACGGGAAAGCTTCTGGAGTGATGGGGGGTCCCCGCTGGCTCGGGAACAGCCCGAGCTCTCCGTGCCGTCGATGCCGGCGAGGCTGGAGCGATGCCGAGGGATCCGTCACGGGCCGAGGGGCGCCCGGGTAAGGAGGACGAAACTGCTGGTTTTCATTCCTAATGCCACCAAGATCCCGGGAAAAGGAGAAATGCGCCGGGGTAAATATAGC